CGTGTCTCGGTGTTGCGACCGCCCATCGATATTTCTCGTTGGTCGTTCAATAATAAAATTTATACATACGGCGGCGGCGTACGTCTAGTTTATACTGTTTGTAGGGTAAAGTCGCCTTAACTATCGTCGGTACGCCTCGCCGGGCCGAGCAACGTGGCGAAGTGTACGACATGGTACCGCCATGGACCGACCAGGATCGGCATGCTTTCGCGACCACGACGAAAGAACGTATATTTTATGCTAATTGAATTCGCCTTGTTGCGTCCGCGACTCTCGGGAAACGTGCAATCGCGGCGCGTAAACGGGCTTCTCGCTCGGTAGATTTTTCTACGTGTGCAGCCACCATGCATACTCCTCCTACCAGCGTTACAGCGGATCGGCATTTGTGCAATCGTCACGATCGATTGCGTCGCGCAGTGCGGGTGCGCGATTAGTGAACTGGTAATTTATGTCGACCGGGTCGCGCTCGCAACGAGTTGCAGCCCAATTAATAATTCAAACACTCGCGATTCTGTCGTGCGCTCCGCGAATTTGTCACATTTTACGTAATTATAACGATTTATTAAAAACCAATCGGTGCTTTATACGAATCAAAATCTCAATCCTGAACACAATGGGTGTTTGCATTTAATATTATTAAGCACTAAGATCCGCTTTAACCAAAAATAGGATTATTTTAATTATTTGATTTATTGCCGTCGATCTAATTTCAATTTCGTAAAGCTTAATTAAAAAGCTTACATCTATATTATATTTCGGGTTTTACTAGCGCAGTACTCACAACAATTAGAGATGACACGATAGATTTGCCAGTGGCGGATTTAGACAGTGGCCCATGAGACCCGGGTTTAGAGGCGCCATCCTTCTAGGGACCAAAATTAAAAGGCCTTTTCTTTTTCCACACCAAGTTCTGAACTGGTGTACACTGATGCAGTAAGTTAGAGTGAGACAGGTATAGTTTGTTTCACTCTAACATATTGCACTAGTTCAGAACTAGTACAGAATTCTTCAAAATAGAACAAACGGAAAGTTAATTTTATATTTGTGCAGGATTACCAGTTGTGAGGCATTTTTGCCAATACCTCGAAGTAGTGCTTTGGCACACAAAAATAAAATCTTGATGTTTTGGTGAAAAAGTGATACCTTTTTTCATTGTTCATTTGTCTGAAAGTGGCGGCAAGTGTCTTAAAGGGGCGCCAAGAAGTATAGGGCCTAGGGTGAAAAAATATTTAAATCCGCCACTGAGATTTGCAGCACATATACTATCGTGATAGAAATTCCTTCGTCGAGGAGGACACGACTGTAATGCAAACTGCCGTAAATTATCGATCGATATGCAGAATTAATCGAATCCTACGAATATACGATAGTGCCACATATATTCTCCGTTAGCCCATACAATACGGACCAATAAAAACAGAAATACTTGCGTAACGCTTCCTGGTAACTGTCTTGCAAGTATATAGAGATATATTTACTTGCCAATTAGCCGCATTCAACTGGGGTAGCAAATTCTTGACTAGTAACGACGGTGAACGTGTAATAGATTGCAGAATCGATAATTTTCATATATTATATGCATTCTCAATAATGCGGAACTATAATTAAGCAATTTAATTAAATATCGATGATTTTAATATTATAATTTATTATTTATTCACATATCTCATCGTAAAAGTATAATAGAACTTTCATTTATACATTTGTGTTACATAAGGAATTTTCGATAACTCGAATTTTTCCAAAGACTTAGACTTTTGATTTACATGAAGTATTCCGAATGCAGAATCCAATAGCGAATGGAAGTCGCATTTTTTAAATTAAATCCTATCGGCGGATATCGGCGAATCGAAGATCTCCTTGACTAAAGCATGAAATATCGCGCGAGTGCAAGTAACATATGCACCATAACTCCCAATTATTTCATTTCGGGAGAGCGCACAGGTCGATCTACGGATGTCATATTTGTCTTTGTCTGTATAATCGGTGAATAAATCCTTCCGAAAGAATCAACGGAAATCATGATTATTAACCCGTTATAAATTCTGAAGAGACAGATTTCTTTTTCCGAATACATTTGGCGTAATGAACAATTTTATGACTGTCGATATTGATTGTATTATATGATTATATATATACGATCTGAACAAAGACAAGATATTTAACGACTATTCGTTTTTTCCAAACTTCTTTTGGGCCATAAAGGGTTAACGAAGTCAACGACGAGATACTTGTCCGAGTGCCTGTCTATTGTAGTCGTCAAAACGGATTGCGGAAATAAATCATTCTTTATATGGCCAATCAAAATTTGTGGGTACGTAAGAGAGAAAAAGAAAAAAGAGAAGGAGACGAGGGAGAGAAAGAGACGCGCGCGCGCGCACACACACACACACACACACACACACACACACACACACACACACACACACA